CTATTTGTCTTGTGAATTCTGAAGGAAAAATTAACTACTTCAAAATATTACCATGGAAAATAATAACTACAAAAAAATTTCCGTTGATAATATACTCTGTATATGTTTGCTTCTTCACCACAATTTCATCTAAATTTAATTTAAAAGGCTGTGTAGTTCACATTCATTTAAAACAAACAGGGCATTTTCATCAGCATACTCTATTAGTAATGTGGTTGTGGTAATAACATACAGTCATGTTCTATACAAATTACAAGACTTCGTTAGCTTTCTTATTTATATGGTACTAAAGTCCTACACAATTTAAGCAAGTCCCTGACCTCTCACAACATCAATAACAGGAGTACTTTGCACTCATACAGCACCTTTCATCTTAGAGCTCTTCTGACATGAATTTTCATTACATCTACATACAGGTAGGTGTCTAGGCACACTTCAAAGGCAGGGAAACTGTGCCACAGAAAGGTTACACAACTTGGCCCAAATCCCTGGTGAACAGCTGGGAATGTGAACTCTCCCTTACTTGTTTTGAACGTCCAGACAATAATACTTACCCCCAAAACAAGCTTCATAAGGCATTAATCAAAATGTTTAACCCCCTACCAAGTTTGCAAATGGCATGGGCAGACAATAAGCTCACTAATTCTTTTTGATACATTATTCATGACTTGTTCTCTTTTTCTGGCAACACTTTCTTTTTTTAAGTAAAAAAAAAAAAACTAACCAAAAAAACCCAATCAAATACAAGAAAATAACAGTTTGTTTCAAAGCAATTACTGCAAAAGAATTTGGAAACCAAAACATTTAGCATTTCCTTTATGGCTCGCCTGTTTGATACCAATCACTACACCACGCACAAGGTATGGCAACTTCTCTGCAGAACCAAAGCACCCGAATGACATCAGGAGAAAGCAGCAGCAAGGCTCTCCTTACTCAGTTTTAGTTTCCAAGGACGTGCAAGCCACTGAGCAACGTTATGTCTGCATACGTAACAGTTATGTTGGCAAGTTAAACTGCCCAACCAACAGCTAGTGACAGCAACTGCAACTAATGATCCAGGGGCTAGCTAGAAAGTTAAAAAAGAAACCCAAACAAAAATACCCTCCTAGTGTTTCCCACTGATAATTAAGGGACTACTGCAGACAGGCCTTGAGATCAAAATATTGCTCTCTGCCTGGCCTTTGCCACCCCGTGAGCATCCTCTGATGTGAGCATCCTCAGTTACCAGCCACACTCGCTAATTGCTGCCTAAGGTCGATTCTGTGCTTCCAGGAACGTTAGTGAACTAATGCACACCTCAGCTTTCCCCCCTATAATAATGCTGATGCAAATGCACACAGACATTACAAGTCAGGCCACCACTATGTATGTGAGCAGCTCTGAAACTGTGTGGGTGGTGACAGATTTTGGAGCCCACAGGGTAGCAGTGCTATCATTTGCTGGGTGAGTTGTTTGAGGTTGCGTTTTGCCTCATCACATTGGAGCCATTTATTTATTTATTTCCAAGCAAGTGCATCCAACAACATTTTTCAAGGGAGCCAGAATTTTTAATGCAAACTCTGCTTTCCAACAACTGAGCTTTAAATACAACAGTAATTATTGTGAATCTCAGGGTAACATACTGAGAGTTAAACGCTCTCAACAGCAGAATAAAAGTGAGCATCTCTCTTCTGATGGTGTTAAGTTCAAGACACATATTTGTGTGGAGACACATATTTGTGTGGAGAAAGAACATTTAGCCAAAATACTTAGGACTATTTTCCTGAAGGCCTTTCTCTAAGAAGAGAGCCATGTAGCAGTTCATTTCATAAAAGCCATGTAGCACTGTAAATAAATTGGAAATGGGCTGCAGAAGGAAATAATGAAAATAGGTTAGAAATGGTTTATCTCTCTAATATGCTGGTAATTTACCTGCTCATGCATCAGGATGACCTTTTTTAGTAGGGGGAAAAATCAGGTATTTGTCTAAGAGATTTTATGAGATGAACAAATGAGGTCACCTCACTAGATTGCAGTAATATAGCCTTGTCCTAAGGCATTATTGGGTTAGGGTCCAGAGGTCAACAGGAGGCTCTTCACTGGCTATAGCAGTTCTGGAAGTGGTTGCAGGAGCCGAGCTTATTAGTTCTTAAGCATTCTGCCAGTATTTTTTACTTCCTGTAAACTAAACACACTTGCCATTGCAAACATCTTATATGGACCAATGATGACAGCCTCAATCTATGTTCTGCAAATATTCTTTAGCCTTACTGTAAATTTCTCTTAAAGTAGCAAGAAGTCTATAGAGACAGTTGCAAACCAAGGCTCTGGTAATTTCCCAGTGTTGTTTGCTATTGATTACAACTACCAACATCCAGAAAAGCCTCTAAAGGTAATTTAAAAAAAAAAAAAGGTGAGATTATGTTTGTTTCTCACTTTTCAAACTCAGGTATCTAAGCATAAGGGTTTGTTAAAAAGGCTCTGCTTTGAACACTTTGCTTCCAAATATCATCCCCACTTGAGGAAGCAATGTATGAATACCACACATCAAAAGGGTTTATGACTTATAGCATTTCTTACACAACTCTTCCCTGGTCAGGCAAGGTCTATTCTCTCCCTAATTTTTGACGGTGATCTCTTACTTCTGACCTATAGTTCTTCTGTCTCCTTCACAGTACTGTCCAGAGCAGGTAATATTACTTCATGCAAACTTTTCTTCCCTTATCATTCTTAGAAATCTTTGTTATCTGCAGCACACATTCACAGGAGGAGGTACAGTAGCCTTTTCAGAGCTATCTATTGGCACACACGTTCTTCTATATTGCTTCCATTCAGACCTGGCATTAAAATTATTACAAATTTGTAAAGCAGAAAGGGGACTGGCTCAGCAAGTTAACGTATTTTCAACCTCACAAGTCCAACAGTAATGTCCTACAAGTGTAAAAAACAACTTCATGTCTTATATACCAGAAAATAAAATCACTATGCTTTTGTCTGTAAGAGGAACCCTTCAGACCTGGAGTAACTTTGTCCCTGCTTCGGTTTCCTGATTTCCATGTAAGTAATGCCGGTACAAAAATTATCTTTCCAGTTTCTGCTCCTGAAAGGAGCTAGATGTCTAGCAGCCTAGATTTCTCCCTTTTCAATTAATCACCTCCTGGAGGGCCAATTCTATTACTTGGCTATGAAATAAAACACATTTTCTAAGATATTCTTGTTCCTAATGCTGTCAAAGTTGCTTAAGTACGTGTTTACACGTATCATCCACATGTTAACATGCCTCCCATGTCACCACTACCCAAGCAGACAGAAAGCTCCTCACTTGTAAGATTTTTTAAATCCTGGTCCAGAGCACACTGAAGCCAAGGGGATGTTTTTTATAGACTGACATGGATCTTGAATCACACTGACCTTGTATGAAGCAAACTGTAGCTATGCACCTGTCATACTCAGTTTGCTGAGTGAACTGCTTTCAATTTAACTTCTGCTGTATGTTATTAACGTGGCACAGTTATTAGCATTTAAATCACCTTTTCTCTTGTCACTCCTATCTTTACATTTCTGTTTCTCCCCACTGAGTATGATTTATAGAAGACTGACTTAGTAGGAAAGCATGTAGTTCTCAGACAAGGATGAAATTGTATTTTTTAGTATCACAGTTTATTTAAGGGACTAGGAATCAAAATGCAACTGACACAGCCATAACAAACATATGATTAATGTTAGTTATTTTTTTCCCCACTGTAATATTTTTCTTTTCACTTCCTCTTTACAAATGCCTGAAAGTACCCACTAATTTTCTGATATCTTTGCTCAAGGAGCACAGGAGCAAGTGCCTATTCTTCTTAGAAAACAAGAGCTTCTTAGTAAAACCGAGTGACTTAGGATAAGAATAAATCTATTTGAGATGCAATATCTAGTGTGGCTGCCCAGCTTAACGCTTGTAAGTGGTAGTGTATACCATCCTACTAAAAATGTAATTAGTGATAATGCCCTATATAGTGCAGCCTAACACAAGACCGGGGCCTGGACTGTCATAAATACCGAAACATGAGAGCAGAGATTTCCCACACCACAGCGCAGTGGCAAACGAGCACCCTGCGGGGAAAGCTCGGGCAGAGGAGGACTGGGTACGTCAAGCATTGAACATGTTTTCAGTGCAAACGCTGCAAGCGGCGACTGGGAGGACGAAGCGGGAAGGCTGCACGTCAGGGAGATAGGTTTGGGTATCTTCTCGGTGCCTATAACAGGGTACAGCCTTAGGTCACCAACACCGCTACGGAACTGCAGCACGGCTGAGGCGCACCGAACACCGGCGGAGGCAGGGGCGCAGCCGGAGCTTCACCTGCTCGGAGACTCGCCGGGAAGTCGCCCCCTCACCGAGGGGGTGCGGAGCGGCTCCCTGCGGGAAGCCGCCCTCCTCCCGCGATGCCACAGCGGAGGCTGCCGGCGCCGGGGGCCGAACCGCTGCGGCAGCGGCAGCGCGGCGGGGCGGGGGGGTCTGCGGCGCCCTTCGGCAGCGGGCGGCGGCAGCCGGGCAGCCCTCCCCGCGCCCTGCTCCAGCCGCCGCCGCCACCGGGCTGCACTGCGCTAGGGGCTGCTGCACCTGAGCGGCTGTGTCAGCGGGGGCATAAAACAAAACCAGCCCCTGGCGAATGCATTATGTAATCTGAGATTATATAATCCTAAAATACGAGGGAAAAAAAAATCCGCAAAACAAACCAAAACCCGCCGTCCTTTCCCGTGCATCTCGCGGGGGTGCGGGGCAGCCCATGCTCTCGGGCCGCCGCCGGGGCAGGCACGGCGGCACCGGCCGCCCGCTGCCCCCACCGGCGATGGGGCCGCAGTCCCCGCCCGCCGCGATGAGCCGGGGCAGGACGGCGGCAGGACGGCGGGGCACGGCTCGGCTCTGCCCGGTTCGGCTCCCCTTCCCTTCCCGGCGGAGGCGCCGAGCCCCGCCGGACCGGCGCTGCGGGAAGGCGGGCGGGAGAGGGTCGCTCCCGGGGGAGGCGCTGCCTTACCTGCTCCCCGAAATCGATGGCGATGTTGGTGATGCCGAGAGGGACCAGGAACCGGATCAGGGGCCAGTAGTTAGTGAGCGCTGGAAATTTCACCATAGTCCCAGCTGCGCGGTGACCCGCGGCGCATCTGCCGCGGCAGCAGCCGGCGCGGGAGGACGGCGGGGGGGAAGGATGAAAGGGCACCGGAGGAGGGTGCGAGCGTGTCCCTGTGCGTGTGTGCGGGCGGGGAGAAGGGGGGGGCAAAGATAAGGGCGAGGGAAAGGAGCAGCAGAGCCCCCTAAAAATAAAGAGCCGGGGAGCGGGCGGGGGGCCGGGCCGGTCCCTCCCTGCCCGGCGCGGCGCTGGCTGGGCGGCGGGGCGCGCTGTGCTGCCGCCTCAGCAGGAGACCCGAGAGATCAAGTCCATCCCCGCCACCCTCCTCCCACACAACAATGATCCGCCGCCGCTGCCGCCGCCGCCGCCGCTGCCGGAAAAAAAAAGAGGAGGGACACCGCCGCCAGCCACTCGTGCGGGCAGCGCTGCCATCCTCGGGGCGCGGGGGCCAGGGGAAGGGCCGGGCCGGGCCCCCCCCTCGCCTGACGCTCGCCGGCGGCGGGGCGACGGCCGCGGCGCCGCGCAGGAAAACACCGCCCTCCTCCTACTTCTCCTCCTCCTTCTCCTCCCTGCCGCCGTCGCCGCGGGGACGGCGCAGGCCGCGGTGCGGTGCGGACGCTGCCGGAGGTGCCCGTGCGGGCCGGCGCGGTGCGGTGCGGTGCGGGGCCGGCGGAGGAGCGGGGCCGGCGGTGCGGTGGGGCTCGGCCGCGGGGCGCCGCTCCCCGTATGCGCGGGCTGCCGGAGCACGTGGGTTTGACACACGCTCGGCAGACGGGCCGGCGGGGGAAAGAGCGGCACCGAGCGGCCCCTCCTGACGCCAGAGCGGCCGCGCTGCGCCCTCCGCGCTGGGCCGGGCACGGCACCTGTCCCGCACCCTTTCCCCCCTGGGTACCGCTGGTCGCCATGGGGTCTCACCCATCTGCGCGCCCTTCGCAGCCGGAGGCAGGGGAAGGCGTTTCCTGGCCATGGGCTTCGGGCCTCGGGCAGGGGCACTCGTGGGGCTGCAGGAAAGGTGGGTTTCCTGAACGTGGCGTTAACGAGGATGTCTGACCCATAGCTCTTCTTCTGGTCAAACACCTGAAATAAATAAATAAATGAATGGTGAACGTTTGCTAGTGCAACAACATCATCTTCCAAGGTCTCTGGGCAAGAGGATGCACTTGTGGGCCAGGGGAGCTGGCCAGGGCACTGGCTGCCTTCAGAATCAAGGCCTTTGACAAACCTTAGCCCTTACACCCACTCATAAGGGTGGGGGAAAGATGAGAAAGCAAGCTCCCTTCTGAATGCTTTGCAGAAGTTTCTCAGCATTTTCAAACTTGCAGGGGGGTTTCAAGGTTTCATTGTGATTTAGTTTCTCTGGGGCATTTAGTTTTGTGTTGTTACCTTCCCTTGCCCCTTTTGAGGTCGGTTGGCAAATATTTTGGAAAGGTGGGAACTCTGTGAGGAATCAGATACCTGATCTTCAGGGGATCAGATCTTCAGGGGAACAGTGGCCAGCAGAAGAGTGCTGCAAAGCCTCCCTCTCCCAAAGACTCTTGTACTAAAATGTTCCTGTGACCAAGCACCATTCCACACATTTGGAGAGTCAGTAGGAGGTGAGCTCTGAAAATCCCTGGCAGGCAGATGACAGGCTGTGGGGTGGGGCTGGAGTGGAAAAGCCCCTGAGTCCTGAGGTGACTTGGCAAAGTCAGCCCCAGTTGGTGTTGGACGTTTTTTCCCTCCTACAGCTGGAGTTTGCTTCACCTAGCAGTCCTTGAGCTGGTGCAGCCATTGTTGTGAGCACACAAGAGCAAACTCAAACACTTATATGAGAGCAGACCTTTATTCATCCCATTGGTCACTTAAAATGCCACAGGCATGATGTCCTGGAGCAGGGCAGGGCAAAGCAGGAGAGGACAATAAACTGAGAAGAAGGAAGCAGAAGTGGTTTGTGATTGCCTAAACCTGTCTTTGGATTAACAGTACCAAATCTTCATCATCCTAAGGGAGAGCTAATCATCTCCAGATGAACCAGTGGTTGGTCCATTGGACAGCTTCTAACCATATCCACGATGGGGAACATTCAAGCTCCAGTCACCCAGACTAAACTTGGACTGAAGCAGAAACTCTTGTAGTTGCAGGGGCCTTACGCCAGCTGCCTTGTTTTATTTGTTTGCTTGTGCTGAGCTGAATTACCTGCCAAATTAGACATAACCTGTGTGCACACTTAGGTGTAAGTTGCAGATCTGCGTAGCAGGTCTTTTTCTTTGAAGCAAGTCTTGTGACTTTTGAAGTCAAGGCTGGATATATTTTGAAGCATTAATTCAATATTAAATTCTGTCTTCCTGAGAATATGTTTGGTTTCAGATAACTGTATTGCCAGTAAGTAATTTCTTCCTGTTAGGACTAGTTTTTACTGGGAGTGAGGTCATTCTTCCTTGCCATGCCGTAATTTCACTTGTACATGAAATTATGGAAGAATATTTTTTATAGGTCCATATTTTTAAATATTTTCTTGGCAAAGTGTTCTTATTTTGTTTCAGTTTAAAGGGATTTTTTTTTAAGGGAAAGAAACATTTAGCACTGTTCTCGAGTCAGAGAAAAGTAAAGGGGAATCCCCAAAGCCACTTGTAAAGATATGATTTTAACTTGCCATTTGAAAATTCCAGATGAGCTGATATCCAAGGAGTACCTCCTCTTGTTCCTGGCAAAAGCAAGCCACCCCAAAATTAAAGCTTCCTGAATCAAAATGTTTGAACACCGAATGTGTGTCTCACAGTGCTAACTATAAAGCACACATAGTGATTATTTGTCCAAAAATTATGTTCAGTCCTGGAAATACTGAGACACCCAAGTAGTTTAACGGGGTTTAATGGGGGTTTGTTATGTGTTCATAAGGTAGTTGTTACTTTTTAACTCCAGCAGATAATGAATCATGTCCCTTACATCTGTAATTAATTTCCATCTGATTGGTCACTTGAGAGCTCGGGCTAGCTTTTTATCTTCCTGCTGCCCAAAGCAATAGTACAGTTTTATTTTAAGAGTAATTTTACATTTTAATTCCTAACATGTACTGGTATGTCCTAGGCAAATGTTAACCTAGCTGATGGTTTCTTGAGTTCCATATATTAAAATCATTAAGTTTATTTAATAAACTGTTAGACAATGTTTTAGGCTTGTCTGTCTACCTCCCATTCATGTCTTTGTGGGATGACTCTAGTTCTTGTGTGCTTCTCTTTCAGCCCAGGTCATATTTGTTCCTTGAATTCATTACCAAAACAAAATTGCATTTGGAACCAAAAAACAAGGATGGTTTCACACATCATGAAGTCAGTAGTTTGCTCAGCTGATGAGCTGAATAAATAGGTCATTTTAGCTGTATTGGGCAAAAAACAGTGATTAGTAATCATTTCCTTTCTAGCATATTTTCTGTTACACTACATTTCTTACTCATATACCAAACACTGTCTGTTTGTTTAATGGAGTAATAAAGACACAGAGAGGACAGCAGGAAATAATTACCCATAATCTCTCTGCTTTTTATAGAAAAATTATCTGGTCCAGGAGTATCTCAAATGTAGCCATCTCACTGGAGAAGTCATATGAATAGAGTACAGTGCTGTAACGTGTTACAGTGTATAAATGATGAAACATATTAGAAAACTCCCATGTGCCTGGTAAGGAAACATGTTAGTAATTGCTACTTAAGCAACAGGGACAAAGTCTAGAGGTGTTCCCAGTAGCAGATCAAATCAGGGTAGTGCATGTTACTTTTACTCACATAGTTGGAAATCCAACATGCAGATCAGCACATGAGCTTTAACACGTTAGAGTCCCAGTCCTTCCCTGAGCTTAAAGGGGGCCCCTCATCACAACTCCCTAATGGGAATCTTGAGAGAACCCTGCTGTGGTACTGCCTTGCTTCAGAAACATGCCTCTTTTTACCTTGTCGAGGCTACTGCTAATTACTTGCTAGAGAAAATGGGTCTTGGGTTTGTTTTCTTAAATTACTAAGCTTGGGCTTTCCATCACTAGTTAGCTATTTAGCTGTCACCCCTGTTTTTTGCAGCTACTGGGTCTCTTCCAAACCTTTTCTTCTACAAAGGATTTTTTTTTCTTATAGTCTAGTGATTGAGAATCATTCATTGTATAAGAAATTCAAACTAGCAGATAACAAAATTTGTGACCCAGTTGTTCCATAAGAGGACAGATGAACTGGATTTCCCAGCCTAAAGAATGGCCAATCATTCTGGTCTCTGAATGGCCCTGGGCTGGGAAAGAGCAAATGATGACTGTCTTTTTCTACCTATTCCTATCAGATAAAGTGGAAGGACATCTCCACAGTAATGTTCTGCTTCTGTCTTGAGTTATTCCTCCCCTAGCAACAGCTGCCTCTTGCAGACTTAACTTTTAAGCTGGAACTGAATCTGATGCATATTTCCATCTTTTTACACAACAGTAATAAAATCAATAAGATTGTCATTTAAAAATGTTCTCAAATTACGACTGAATGTTACTGAAGGAATGCTCAGAATGTGAGTCTTGTGTACAAAGTGGAAAAATACTCTCCTATTTAGTGTTGAGGAATAAAAATAAAAAAATCTTCTACGCACTAATTTTTTTAGGAGACTGGCCAGACACAAAGCTCAGTTTTAAGGAATTTTCATGACCCAACAACTGAAGATTCCCTTCTTCCCTGGGACCCAAGTTCTGCAAAAAGCCTGTTTCTAGGTAAAATGTACACTCAGCCTGGTCTTTTCCTGCAAAGGAGAGGGCAAAGAAGAGCTGGATGCACAACACTTTCTCTTACCATGTGTAAACTAAGCCTGAATCACTGCAATCACTGTGAGTTGTGCAGAAAGCCTTCATCTCAGAGGGTTAGTGGAACTCTCTTTATCTCACTCCTCATGCATCGACCATAGGATCAAGGGGCACTATGTTCTTGGGCTGTGTGCCTGGCCGTGACTTCTAGGCTCTTGCAGTTCATGACTGGAAGGACTACAGAAATGCTGCAGGAGAAGTCTGAGTATTTATATAACATTTTATTCTGTGAATGGGTAGAGTTGAATTGAAAGATCAGAAAACAGCCAACGGAATCAGGTTGTCAGTCAGACAAGTGTCCAGCTAATATAGTTCTGATTTAGCTGCAGCTCTGTGTGAAGAATAAAAATGGTCTTTACAACCTATGTCCCCTCCCTAAGGCCAGTCTGCTCCGTACGCAGCTGGCTTGTCAAGTTAGATGATAA